TTTTCCTCATCGTTAAAATTAAGGGGGGGGGGGGGATGTTACGGACGGAAGTCTTACCACCATGGAAATTGAAATGTGATTTCCTCATATACAAATATGTTTGGACATAGTTTACACATGACTGCTGCATTGATACAATACCATACATCGAGTATTTGGTGTTTTTTCTAAAATAAATGATAAACAAATGAAAAATAAACAACTGCATTTCAGTGATGATTCACATATAATCATGACTGTAACAAAACATCCACATACATGTCGATGGAAAACAATCATCACTGAAAGTTATGGTATGAAGAATAACCTGTTTACTGTACATGGTAATGCTTTAATCAAAGAATATTGTAGTCAGTATGATTCATAGAGGGATTTCCACTTTTAAATGGAACGAGTTTGTAGGTATTTTTGGCAAAAATTACAAGGAAAATTATTTTTTTTAGCAAATATCATGTGTAAGCTCGAGCTGTTTTTTTTATAATGGTAGCTACGCCCTTGTTTGCATATGTGTTGAAGCGGCATGGACGCCTTGTAACATCACTATTTGATTATGATTCACAAACACATGCCCATGATATGGTCGGAATCGTGCCAAGGATTGGCAGATATTTATCATGAAAACAGGTTTTTATGTAGGTGGCTTGAAACTCGCTTTTACAAAGGCCTATAGGTTCGATCAAAATACATTTCGTTTTACAGCTTCTCTTTTCTTAAAATGATTTAAATTCTAATCGCAGATTAAAGAATAACACAATAAATAGTATGCCAAATTATCGTTACCATGACAACCCTGTGATAATTCACCGTATGTAAGAGAGTAATGCAGATGATACTGTCGGCCGTAAATTTTGATAAGTTAACATCGCTATCAATAAACACTGGGTATCTATAAAATTATATATGTGATCAAAGGCCATATGATAGATTATGTGGTCTCTGGTGTGATGGAGGAGAACTTGCGTCGCTAGTTTTTTCGATAATCTAAACACATATATGTAGCGTGAAACCGGCAGATACTTTAGAAACCGGCAGATACTTTGCCCTACATGTAACAACGATGTCCCGTGTTTATAAAAGGGATATAATGTGGGGATGAATGACATGTCCTTTTATCTTGGCCCGTTTATGATGATACATACTGCGATCTTTCACAATAATCCCTCTGGCTATCAGATTGAGGGTACGTTTTAAACATAACCGGTATTTCTATTATTGTATTTATAAAGTTCTTCGAACGTTCTCCATAAACTAGTACGTCCGTCAGATACATCGCGCACTACCCTTTACTCTTTTGATCTTCTCAAACGACTGTTACAAGTTCGAAGAATCCTGGTCAAAGTAGAAAAGTCTTAAGATTATTCCCTACAATTCTATAACTTATACATTGTACCCTAAATGGGTAGAGCTTTCGTTCAGGGGAATATGAGGACAACGATACAGTTATTTCCAATGTTGTAGAAGTCTCCCCACTTACTTAGGAAAACACTGAGATATTGTATTCATGTCGGAATGATATTTTCAGCCCCTGTCAGATCTGAACTTGAACATGCGAGGTAAAGGCCTACAAGATGTTTAGCAACACTGGGGCGTAATAGGCATAGATCTTCTCCAAACTAGGGAATATATATCTTGTGAGAATGACTTCTCCGACAGGGAAATTTACAGCAATGCGACATCACAATTACTTACGTGATATTTACTCGCAATCTGAGTTATGGATCGTCAATTTAAACAGGACAATATAGACGAATTTCACAAAAGGCATAGAGATCCAACATACCTATGATATACTCAAAGAACGCAACCGCCTGTGCTATCCGGTCATAATCGCTACACAATAAAAACAATTTTTCATTTCAAGTCTCACAGAATATATCATTTGATACGGCATTGTTTGTTATCGTATACTTTTGCGTTAGTGAAACAAATGTGGACAACTTTAAAGTTTATGTATGGCGTTATTACAGCAAAGGCTGAGCGAATGGAGAAATAACATTGTTCAGGCACTGTGCGACTATTAAGGAAGGTCACATGCAGTGCAATAATATTCAAATTATGTACTGCCACAAAATATTTTACATTAGTGATGTGCGAGCTGAACAGACTTAAGAAATTACGAGTTGATTCGTGTAGCATATTTGGCTGTGCTCCAAGAGAGACAAAGGGCTATTCTATTTGGACAGCTAGGGACACTTGCGAGGACAAAGGGGCAACGCATCGCCCTTTGTTCACCACTGAACCTTTTAATCCCTCGAATCATGCACCTCACAAGATTTGCCAACACCACAGACAAGGCGTAACTGATACTGGTAGCAAGAGCGAGTGCAGCTTGATAAGGCGTGTTAGCTTGTGTAATACTGCTTTCTTTGTCAGGCTCTTTTGGTGATAAGAATATTGAGGTCATGTGAACGTTGATTCCAAACGTATTAAAACGTGTGAAAATGAAATTACATGAACCAAGTACTTCACATGATGGATATATATGATCATCTTGCTTGAGTACAGGTAACATGAAGGTGTATGAACCGTTCATATACATACCCCTGAAATCCGGTATGATACATAAATATCTAAGGTGTGTAAATATTTGCAAATTCGCAAATTTACATGTGTTTCCCTACCTAAGTAAATTCACATGTTTCCAACCCGAGTAAACTTAGAACGAAATCGGAAATTTCAGCACCCATTGAAATTCAAAGGAATGCATTGGAAATACTCTATGATCATGTATTTACCGGGGTATCTGTTTTGCAATTCATGTTTGGAAATCCCTGACAATCCGGTCAGGGCATACATGAACGAGGTGCTTGTGCATATGAAAATGAACGATGGGCATATGTTTCAAAGGTATAGGTTCATATGAAATATATGCCCGAAGTTAGGAAATATCTGAAAACATACGTAAATCCGGTCACGGCATGTATTTCCTACTGTATTTACGATTATTTCAATGGTTTAGTATCCGGTTTTTGGTCCTGTGATTCTAAAATATAACATTATAAATTATTTAAGTATAAACTTTTTAGTCACGATATGACTGAAATGTTGCCAAAGCGACTATAAAGTTTAACTCACTCACTCAAGTAACGGTGCATGATAAAAATTACATAAAAGAAAAATTATTTGAAAAGAACCCTAAATAAACATATAGCAAAGCACTTTCCATGCAATGCCACGTATCGCGCGTAGCACGAGCACTTTGCATGCTTATTGACACCTGAAGTTCACACACCTAATGTTGAAAATTGAACGGTTGAGTATTCTCCAGCCTCTGGAAAACACGTTAATTGCAACCTAAACTGCGCGTACGTCCTGCCATGGCTTACGGAAAAGTAGCGCCTTTGCGCCGTGGGTAGGCTGGAGACTGGAATGTCCCAAAATGAAGTGGCCAGACATGTTGGTGTCAATCAAAAACGATCTCATCTATATGGAGACGTTTTCAATATAATGGGAACACGAGCGATTTGCCCCTGACCGGCCGTCCACGCGTGGCGTCACGTCAGCAAAACAACCACCACATTCGGCTGATCCATCTAATGAATCGATTCCAGACTGCCAGTGTGACTGCTCCTGTCATTCATTCATGGCTTCGTAAAGCCATATTGACTTCTCGGACCGTTGTTGGCTTATGTCCAATCAGTTCCAGGACTGTACGGAACCGACGAAGGGAGCACAACATCCTGCCCCGAAGGCCTGTAATACGTCCAAAGTTGCCCCAACGTCACAGCCTGGTGCAGACAGCATCTACGGTACAGGGTACAAGATTGGGATGGTGATTTGTTCACTGACGAGTCGAGATTTCATCTGGACTGGATGGTAGGGCATGGGTGTACAGACGGCGAGGTGAACGGTATGCTGACGCGTGCTTTTTTCAACGTCGACAGTTTGGTGGCGACGGCGTTATGGTATAGGGAAGCATCGCATCTCATGGTCGGACAACTTGTCATTGTCAATGGCGATCTGACAAGTCTGCGATACAGGGATTAAATCGTTGGGCCTCATGTGCAGCCGTTCATTCAAGGACAGAGACGTAACTTCACGCTTCAGCAAGATGCCCGTCCACATGTTGCTGGGGTTTGTGACAGATTCCTGGGACAGCAAACATTCCGGTACTCCCCTGGTCAGCTGTTTCCACAAACCTGTCCGTTATCGAGCACGCTTGGCATGAAATGGAGCGACGTTCACGTCAAGACCAGAATCAGCCATTAACGTTAGCTTAATTGGGACAATCGTTGGTTCAGACATGGATCAACATCCCTAAGCTTTCTTTAATCGCTTTGTATCGTCTATGCGTCATCGTTGTCAAGCCTGCATCAACGCCAATGGTGGACACATACGATATTGAACTTGCGAACTGACTTTTGACACCACATCACTTCAAGGGCGTGTCACGATACCTAGTGTCAAATCATACAGATTTCGATAATATCTTGTGAATAGTTAAACAGTGATTAAGGAAAATACCACAAATCATGTAATCATCCTTTTGCATTACAAAATGGCATTACATCAAGTAATGCACAGTTACTTTATTCCATGACTGTATGTTTCTGCAGACAATAAAGCCTTTTAACCTTATTATCACCGCCTCAGTCCACATTAACTTCTCGTCGGGAAGGGCCTACGACATTAATAATAATGCAGTGATATTTTAGAGCCCTGGCATTTGCACCGCATTCAATACATTTGATACGCCTCACAACATACTGTCGGGGAGGACTCACGACATTATGAATAATGCATTAATTTATTTAGAGCCCTGGGATTTGCAACGCATTCAATACATTTGATATAATTGATACGCATCACAACATACTGTTTGCTGTCAAGGGAAACATTCCACATTTGTCGTTTCTTGTATTGGTATTCCCAGCTTAAACCTTAATCTTGAATGTATGTCTTAAAAGAGGCGGAGTTATTGGTAGTGTTAAAATAGCTTATTAATAGTAAGAAATATCAGTAGCAGCTTGAGCATTAAAGGTCCAGGTGGTGAAAATGTGCTCTCACCATAGCGAATTCGTTTTCCTGGCTTTAGGAATCATAAAGTTGGCCAAAGGTAACAACTGTTTGGACGTGGATTCTGTTCACAGCGACAAATATATGGAACACGAAGTGTTTAGAAAGTTCAGAAGTGAATCTATCTACACCTGTGCATCAGCATGTCTCGTGTCCTCAGCATGTCTGTCCTTTGGATTTGACATGAAAACGCGCACCTGCCTACTGAACAGAAACAGTAGTGATACTGCTAACGTTGTTGACAGAAAGGGATTCCTCTTCAGTGATATTCAACATTGGCCAAAGGTTGGTGCTTTCTTTAATTACAGGGCATCCCGTTCAAGGGCGTTGCCTCCCCACTGCAAACATCGTGTTACCTCAGTTGCCAAACTACTGCTAAACAACTAATATAACAATGATAATTGGCCGGTATGAGTTGGGATCTGAAGGGATATTGTAAATAAGCCGAATGACCCCCGCTAATCAGGCTCCTGGCATAATGCCAGATGAAAAAATCAAATTAAAACTTGAAACATAACCGTCACATAGAATCCAGTAGTTATTTTCATTCTGGTCTATGCCTACTGATTTGTTACGTTCTAGTTTGTTTATCGCTAAGGCTATGTCTTCCGCGGTAATATCTTTATTCAATATAGTATTATCGTAAGGTAATGTAAAAACATCATCATCAATGTCATTTGGCACTTCGTGGGAATCATCGTGGCACTTCTCGTTAATATGTTTTGGACTATGAAACTTGTTTTCATTTTTGTGTGTGTGTATGTGTGTGTTAGGGGATTTCCCGAATTTCTTGGCAGAATATTTATATTGATTTCGTATTAAGAACATATTGCTTGTTTCATCTTTGTATGTTTTAATATGTTTGTTTAGGCATTTTTATATAAATGTCCATGATGACGATAACGAGAAGAATTAACACGCTTTCTTCCTTTTCTATAACGCCGTTTTGCTTTACGATAGTCTCCTCATATTTCTGCATTCTCTGTTGAACCAGGGCTGACTAGGTTTACGAGTGTTACGTGTCTTCCGGGTGTGAGTTGGAGTTCCTCATCACCTAACTTACTGACCTCATTCTTGATATCAGCATCATCATACAGTATTGAGTCAGCTCATTCCTTACACGTGTAAACATTATCAACATCGTAACATATGTTATATTAGGGATTACACTTTCTTAGTAAATTATCAACATCTATGTTATTATGGAATAATATGGCCATATCCACCTAATGCCAGTTTGGTCGGCTTTTGACGTCATTATTTGGTTGAAACATTTGTTCATTACTATCACCATTGTCGAGATTGTTTTTACTAGTGACTGAGTTGAAATTTACGTCACATCGGCAATATTACAGCCATATCGTAAAAATAAATCTAAGAAGGATTTATAGAAAGCTGTCATCGAAGGATAGTACAACAACTAGATTATCACATAATTTTAAAACTAGTTTGTGAGCATGTAAAAAATATAAATTATCGAATGACGTACACACTATAAAAGGGGCTGGAGATCGCTAGCAACAAAACTAGACCACCACACAAGGAATCGAGGGGACTTACAATACAGACATTATCCAAAAAAACTGTATCTTCTTGTGGAATGAACTCAAACGCTGTGAGGAAACGGGGTAATCATAAACAACAATGGTTTGATCAAGACTGTAAATTAAAAACATGATAAATATGAACTTTTGGATAGATTTCGTCTGTCTAAGGATTTTCTCACCTTCAAGGGTTTCATAAAGTTCGAAACAAATTAAGAGAACTTTGTCGTCACAAGAAGGAAGAATATACAATATAAATAACCAACTCTATATTATCAGATTTTCTCTTGTGGTAAAAGGGTTAAATCTTTTTGGTCTCATGTGAGACATTTTAGTAGCGCTTCATGTTAATCTGCAGCATCAATTAACTGTTTGTCATGGGTTGAATATTTTCAAGATGTTATAAATATTCAAGATATTCATATTGATGAAGATTTTTTACCCTTTACAAAGGATTTCATTGTCATTCATGATGTGTAAGAATCCGTCTGTGAAATCTGTAATGATGATGATATAAATAATATTGTGAACAGGGACATAAGTATTCAAGAGGTGGAGTTTGCTCTTGGTAGCTTTGTAAAAGTCCTGGCCCCGATTTCTCGAAAAGACTTAAGTTTTTACTCAAATTTCAAACTGAGTTTGACAATTTGAAACAGCTGATTTTTTAACTGAACTGCTTTTTTTTAACAAAAAAGCCCAAACAACTTAAGTAGCCTATCTACCCAACTCAAATTGTCAACTATGTTTGAGTGTAATATCGATTTCAGCTCATTCTGGGAAATGCATTTTCCTGCTTTTTCTCAAATTTGAGTAAAAACTCTTACTTAAGTCAAAACTCAGACTTAAGTTTGTTTCGAGAAATCGGGGCCTGGTCCAAATGACATTCCATGTGAGATGGTTAATGGTAATAAAATTGTTTTGCAGTCATATTTCTGTACTTTGTTTAATGTCATTTTTAGGTAAGGTAAATTTCCAGATCAGTGGTCACTATGTATTATATTTCCATTGCATAAAAAAGGAAGCATTCATCAAGTAAATAATTATCGTGGTATCTCTCTTATGGATATTTGTGGCAAAGTTTTTACTTCCACTTTGAACAGGCGTTTGAAAGAGGTTGTTGACGTGTTAGACGTACCCTGAGAGTCAAGGAAGCTTCCGTAAAGGCTATTTAAAAACAGGAGGTAGATTTTATTGTTTATTTGTGGATTTCCGTAAGGCGTTCGATTCAGTTAATAGAGATCTTCTTTGGTTTGTTCTGTCTCTAATAGTGTCCATGGTTCTACGTTCAGTATCATTAGAGACATGTATTCAAAGACAAAGGCTAGTGTTAAATTAAATAATTTAAACGTTTCGGAATATTTTGATTCTTTGAGTGGGGTTCGGCAAGACTGAATTTTAAGTCCTCTGTTATTTGCGCTGTTTGTTAATCAGTTTAATACGGAAATAAATTACCTGTGGTGACAGGGGCATATTTATTGATCCAGAGTTTATGAAATTGTATTTGCTACTGTATGCAGATGATTTATGTTTGTTTGCGGATTCTGCCATTAGTCTTCAGAGGAAGATCAATCTATTATTAGAGTTTTGTAAAAAAAAAAAATGGGGTTTGTAAATTTTGAGAAAACAGAGGTGTTAGTCTTTGGAAATGGTGGTAAATTAAGGCGGAATGAATCATTGTACTTTGGTGATCATAAGTTAAATGTTTCTACATATTATAATTATTTAGGTCTATTTTTTTCAAATAGACTTTCATGGTCTAAATCGGTTCAAAATCTGGTAAATAAAGCGAATAACGCCTTGTTCTCAGTTAAATTTTTTGGTAGGAGACTTAAAAATGTTTCTCCAACTATTTTGTTCAAAATCTTTGACGTTCAGATAAAGCCGATTATTTTGTACGCTTCGGAAATATGGGGTTTTCAGAAATGGTATGTTATTGAACAATTTCACATACAGTTTTGTAAGTATGTGTTGGGTGTAAGTTATAAATACTCTAACGCGGCTGTTTTGGCGGCATGTGGTAGAAATTATATTAATGTTGATAGTTTATTACGTGTTATGAGGTATTGGTTCAAACTTTTACACTTACGAAAGGATAGAAATCCAAAGCAGTGATATATTATGTTGCACAATTTAGACAAAGTTGGTAGGAAAACGTGGGTATATTTTGTCCGAAATACTGCAACGAGGAACAGTTTTTGAAAGATTTTCATGTAAGAGTTGGTGATTGTCAAAAGCAAATCATATTTCCACAAATTCACAAATGTTCATCGCTTGATGTTTATTCAAGTATCAAAAGTGTATTTTGCATTGAACAATATTTAACTTTATTGAAATCTAAAGATGCGACGCGGAGAATAACAATGTTACGAATCGGTGCACTTCAAATATATATAAATACCGGTAGATTTGATGGAGTTCCGAGGCACCAAACACTTTGTAATATTTGTAATGATAACTTTGTAGAAAATGAATTTTATTTCCTTTTGGAATGTAAAATTATTATGACTTGCGCTGTAAGTTTTTTAAAGCATTACCAAATTGCATAGATCAGCAATACTTTCTAAACACACTATCATGTACCAATTTGTCAACAGCAACAAATTGTTCTACTTACATTTAGAAAGCATTGTCATTGCGTTCTTTATACATATGACTGTGACTGTCAATTGACACTATCTTATAATTACACTTGTTTATTTTGTATTGTAAGGCCTTGTTACGAAATATACTTGATTGATTGATACTATCACCATTGTCCAGATTGTGTTTACTAGTGAGTGAGTGAGTGAGTTAAACGTTTACATCACATCGGCAATATTACAGCCATATCGTAAAAATAAATCTAAGAACGATTCACAGAAAGCTGTCATCGAAGGATAGTACAACAACTAGATTATCACATAATTTTAAAACTAGTTTGTGAGCATGTAAAAAATATATTATCGAATGAGATCGCTAGCAACAAAAGGCCACCACACTAGGGATCGAGGGGACTTACAATACTTGTGCTACCTGCGTGGTTCCTCAGCAGGATTTGTACCATTCCTTCAACTGTTGTAGGCAATGTCAGCCATATATCTAAAATATACAAATATACTGCAATTAAAAACGGTGATAGAACAGAATATTCTTTGAAAGATGTGGGCTTATATACCCCCTGAGGAGGACAATAGTTTTACAGTGCTTCAACCCCCATCCAGAGTATAGCCACAATCAATCACATTTCATTATCAAATTCTGCCTAGATATAAATAACATCAAAATTTATCAATTAATTCAATTTATTTTAAAAAGGTAATAATTAATTGAGAAATAATTCTATTTAAAAGATCTTTCGTAGAAGATTATTTGAACTATTTATCCCTTGTGAAGGAATAATCAATGCAGTCAAGCAGGACATGCTTGACTGTGATTCTTCCATCACAAGGGATACAAAACGGAGGATCCTCACCTTTCAGCAGGTACTTGTGAGTATATTTAGTATGGCCCACACGGCATGGTCTTAAAATGACTTCTTCAAATCTGGACGGACAGCCAAAGTAGGAGTAACCGATAGCTGGTTGAATAGCATGTAACGTATTTATACCTACTTTGGTGTCACACTTCTTTCATATCAGATCCCTGATGTAACATCTAATAACAGGTTTATAATCACTGTGCGGAATTAGAAGTGGCGTCACATACTTGTTGAGTGCTGCCTTTAGCAGCAGCAGCCATTGTGTTAACAGAAATTCCAACATC